TTTTTTACTGGCTAGGAGTTTGCTTGGTTTGTCAACCCGTTTGAGCGGTGTATTTTACTCTTTAGCTGAACTCTTACTTTTTCGACTTTTTGTAGCCTATCTGACTTCTTTTTAGTGGCGTTCTGGTCATACTGACACTCGAAATGCCGCTTATGCATCATGTATGTTGTGCACATTCACTCAAACTTGCTTAGTAGCGCAATTACTTTGGCCGCGTTTGCTTTACTCTCATATGGCTATTTTGACAGCAACTAGCCAGCTGGTTCCATAGTGTAGCGGTTATCACGTCTGCTTTACACGCAGAAGGTCTCCAGTTCGACCCTGGATGGAACCATGTGCATTAATTTTTTTATTTTATTTTAACTTTTTTTATTTTAATTTTTTTCAGTCTTCTTTATAAATACTACTTAAATTTTATTTTATCCATTTAATTTTAGTCGGACGCTTCTTTATTGCCCTTTAATTTCGTTCGCGAAAAATATTTAATTTTAACTGACTTCAAAATCGTCGTGTATATTTGTTTTTTTTTATGTTTGGTTTTTGTTTGTCAACCGATTTCTTCTGCGTTGGGTTAAGGACAGCCCCACAGTGAATTCATTAAATTTTTATCAAAATGGGGTTAATGAAAAAAAAGATTTTTGGGAAATCAAAATCAAACAAAGGCAATCTAGAATCGCTGATATGAATAATAACTGGTCGATTCTGTCGCCAGAAGCATTAATGTGCAAATTTATCAGTTTGAGTTATTGGGTTGACTTGATTAACCTTTAGATGTTCTATGTTACACAAAAACCCAGAATACCAGAATACGGGCGATGATATACATATACATACGTAATTGTAAAATACATTTTTATAAAAATGCATTCTGTATAAAAATAAATTTGATTCTGAAATCACTATTAACTTAGTGCAATACAGAAACGGTGATAATTTCTATACTTTAATTTAACATACACTAGAAATTTCTAGAAAATTTTCGAGTATGCAAGCGATTTTTGAATTACAATTGTAATTAATGTATACATTAATGTATACGAGCGATTTTTCTTGAGCAATGTTGAATCGCCTATAAAACCGCCTCATTTAAATGCAGCTTTATGAAATGCAATTTTCAAATAGCTAAAAAATCCCGTTGCTTTTTGAGAACTTTTTTTCGGTGACGAATTTTAGCATTTTTTCCATATAAGCATGAATTTCTTATGAAATAAAATGCGGAACCGTTAGCAACAAAATTTCAAAAAATCAGCGCCAGTTTTTTGAAATCGCACTTGTTAATAATAAAAACGGAAGTCTCCAAAAAAAAAAAATCTAACAAATCAACACGATTTTTTAGCCGGTTGAAACTTGCACTTCATTTAAGTAAAAAAATACTAACTCTTACTTCAGCCATTTCTATTGCCCATTGAGTCTACTCATCACAAACAATAGAAAAATACATTTTAAAACCAAGAAACAATTTCGGAAAAAAAACTACAAAAATGAACCAAAAAGCTAAAGCAAATTTTTATTCATTAAATTTTAGTGTAAGAATAAATATGCAAGTTCCAAGTGGTTAAAACTTGCCGTTGATTTTTGATAATGTTTGTTTTGTCGCATTTGCTTACATGTAACTAATAAACAAAATTAATTTTTATATGGAATAAAACCGTCAAACTCCGGCAAAAAAAAAATATATAAAAAATCTACGGTAATTTTTAGCCTAAAACACCAAAATGGGATAGAAAACTGTATACTCAAAGAGACAAATACTTCTAAAAAAACTTAAATTTGGTTGAAAATTTTTTGATTTTCTTTTTAGTTGTCTACAAAGTTTTAAACTTAAGTTTATATGGGTTTTCTTAGAGAATGAACTGTATTTTAATTAAAAATCTTAAAAAAATTAATAAATAAACATAAGCGGTAAACAATATCACTTTGAAATGGGGTGCCCAACAATAATATATTTATGTACAAACAATGCAACCTTGAGGGTACTGAGAACACACGGTGCATCTTGCAGAGAACAGATATCGCGAAAAGGGAAGCAAAATGAAAAACATTAGTCAGCTGCTTAGAAAATCAATAAACTGTTCATGGCAACGCAAATTAGAGAAACAAAACTTCGCAGATTTTCCGTAACCAAACAAATTAAATAAAGTTTTTGTTAATCATAAAATCAACACACGAAAAAATGCCACAAGAAACACAAATACCCAATGGCGGATTGGAGGGCGATGAAATTGAAAATGTTCGAGTTGTAGTGCGTGTCCGGCCAATGGAGAAATCTGAAATTAACTGTGGTGCTGTTAATGTTATACAAGTGGATAAAATCAATCGAGCCATCACAGCCGTGAAACCCAACGCAACATCCAATGAGCCGCCAAAAACATACTACTTCGACAATGTTTTCAGTAGCGACTCCAACCAACTCGATTTATATGTTGACACGGCACGTCCTATAGTTGAAAAGGTGCTGGAGGGATACAATGGTACCATCTTTGCATATGGACAAACAGGTACAGGCAAAACCTACACCATGTCGGGCAATCCCGATTCACCACAAACGAAAGGCATTATACCCAATGCATTTGCGCACATCTTTGGACACATTGCTAAAGCTCGAGAAAATCAGAAATTTTTGGTACGTGTAAGCTATATGGAGATATACAATGAAGAAGTACGTGACTTGCTGGGCAAAGATGTTAGCAAAAGTCTGGAAGTAAAAGAACGACCCGATATTGGCGTATTCGTAAAAGATCTAAGTGGCTATGTTGTGCATAATGCAGATGATCTCGAAAATATTATGCGTTTGGGCAACAAAAATCGTGCTGTTGGTGCTACAAAAATGAATCAAGAATCATCGCGTTCACATGCCATTTTCTCGATTACAGTAGAGAGTAGCGAGCTGAGTCAGGGTGACATGACAAATGTACGAATGGGTAAGCTGCAACTAGTGGACTTGGCTGGCTCGGAGAGGCAGAGTAAGACTCAGGCAAGTGGGCAACGCTTGAAAGAAGCAACCAAAATTAACTTATCACTTTCTGTATTGGGTAACGTAATAAGTGCTTTGGTGGACGGAAAAAGCACCCATATTCCCTATCGTAACTCAAAGCTGACACGTTTGCTGCAAGACTCACTAGGTGGCAATTCGAAAACGGTGATGTGCGCCACTATTAGTCCAGCAGACACTAATTATATGGAAACCATTTCTACACTGCGATACGCTAGTCGCGCCAAGAATATACAGAACCGTATGCGTGTTAATGAGGAACCAAAGGATGCGCTGTTGCGTCATTTCCAGGAGGAAATAGCACGTTTACGTAAACAGCTGGAAGAGAGCAATCACGAAGATCCAATATCTGAGGAAGATGATGAAGATGCTGATGAGGATGAGGGCGACATTGAAATAGAAATTGAGGAAACGCCCACAATCAATGGCAAAAAATCGAAAAAACGCGAGAAAAGCGATGCTGAAAAAGAGGAAAAAGAGCGACAGGCACGGGAACATCAACGCGAAATTGAACATGCGAAGTCTGAGCAAGAACAATTGCGTAATAAACTAATGTCACTTGAAGGCAAAATATTGGTTGGGGGAGAAAACTTGCTTGAGAAAGCGCAAACCCAGGAGAAATTACTTGAGCAATCCTTGACCGAATTAGAAGAGCGTGAAAAGACTGAGGAAACGCTGCGTCAGACATTGCAGCAAAAAGAAACTGAGCGCATAGATATTGAAGAACGATACTCGTCACTGCAAGAAGCAAGCACCGGCATAACAAAGAAAATTCATCGAGTAATGCAAATGTTAATGGGCGTTAAATCCGAATTAGCCGATCAACAGCAGGAGCATCAGCGCGAGAAGGAAGGAATTTATGAAAATATACGCAGCTTATCACGTGAATTGGCTCTATGTGAATTGGTGCTTAATTCTTACATACCCAAGGAGTACCAGTCAATGATAAATCAGTATACTCACTGGAATGAAGACATCGGCGAATGGCAGTTGAAATGCGTTGCCTACACTGGTAACAATATGCGCAAACACATCGCTGAGCCGCAGGAAACAACCAATAAGCAGGAATTTATCGATCTCTCACATGTTTATCTTAGCTACAATACAGATGGTGTGGCAAATCCGGTGCGTGCAAAATCTGCGCGCCCCCGCACTTCTGGCGTGCCACGGCCAACCACAGCAAGGCGCTACTGAATTTTGTGCAGCCACCAAATATACATATGTACGTATTTTAATAATCCCAGCTATATAATTTTTAATTGTTATATGTTATTGTTTTTTCGTTTTGTGAATTAATTTAAGGTTTTGTTACGTTTTTTTATATTTTGAATGACTCGAATTAACACGCAAAGCTTAACACAAAATAAGCATTTATTTTCAAACATATAAATAAAGTTACACGCAAAATAAAAGAACATTATATCATTTTGTTGGCAGATGTTATTAGTTTACGCTAAAATTCAAATAAATAAACCGAGAAATACAAAATTTGTATGTTTTGTGAGACACAGTCGATTCTCGTTCGTACCGTTACAAGAGCAGAGAACGTAACGTTACGTTTTCTGATATGAGGACACAGTAAATCCTTATGTCGCTGGGAACATGTTTCATTAATATCAATATAAAACCTATGGGGAAATAATTATTATTTTTAGACAATAAAAGCATTATTTCTAGCTTAGGCGCCTGGATACATTTTTCGAACTATCTAGGAGTTGGTGACGTTTGATTTGTTCGAAAGGAATTTAGCGATTTCTAGAATTCCACTGCAGATTTTTAAACGTTTAAGCTTTTTTCGTAAAAGTGTTGTCATCCTGAACATTAATAAGAAAGGAGAAAACGCTAGCCTGTGCAGCCTTTATTCTTTTTTAAATCAACTCGAGATATTTTTACAAAGGGAATGTTTTTAACGGTGGATTTGGATACTCATATCATGAATCGTTAATGCACAACTGTTCCCAGTTCTTACGTTATTGATTGTCTTATCTCTTCTCACTATTGTGAGCTTCTTGCATTGAAGAAGAAGCATCGCATATGTAATTGGTTTTGACAGTTCGCAGCGCTGAGAAAAGGTAAACTTTTTGTAGTAGAAAAAGCATTTAATTTATAAATTAAATTAACTAAAATTTTTATGTAAAACAATAACGCGTACTTTATCTTGTTGAATATATGAGTAACATTCAATAAATGGTTTTGCTGCGTCGTCTCACTTTGGTTCAAGATTTATTGCAGCAACTTAGAAGACAGCGCCACTACTGGAAAAATATGGGATGCTCTCTTTTGGAACCCCCTGCGTCTGTTCGTGGTATGCTCGAACTGAATCGTGATTCGTTTAAAAAACGTGTGGAACTACCACGTTTGCGAGTACCAGGGACGGATTCAAATAAAGTATTGCCATTGTTGAAAAAGCTGCTTTTGAAAATGGAGAAGCTACGTCCGGTACGTGTAGTCCCCAGTGTGGGCGTTGGAGGAGAATCGTCCTCCATGCGTGAGATACTACTTCATCCATCAGCAGTTAAGTCATGGGATTGTTTACCCACTGCTGAGCTAATGAAATTCAAAGTCGGAGCTAATAATTTCTACTATGATGAATTAGAACTAGGCTACGATAATTGGCGCGCAGATGAGATATTCAAAAGCGTTTTGCCAACCGATGAGGAAGGTGTCACCTCGTATTCTCGCATAGGACATATTGTGCACTTAAACTTAAGAGATCATTTGCTGCCTTACAAAAAACTGGTTGGTGAGGTTTTGCTAGACAAAGTGCCTGGCTGCCGCACAGTGGTTAATAAGGCGGCAACAATTGACAATACCTACCGAAACTTTCAGTTGGAACTTATTTGTGGTGAACCTGAATATCAGGTAGAGACCAAAGAGAATGGAGTGGTGTTTGAATTTGATTTCTCCCGCGTGTACTGGAACCCTCGCTTATCTACGGAACATGAGAGAATTACAAAAATGCTTAACGCGAACGATGTTCTGTACGATGTCTTCGCTGGTGTTGGGCCATTTAGTGTGCCAGCAGCGCGTAAAAAATGTTGGGTTCTTGCAAATGACTTAAATCCAGAGAGTTATAAATGGCTGCAACACAATGCCAAGCGCAACAAATGTTTAACTCATATGAAAACATTCAATAAAGATGGGCGGCAATTTTTACTGGATGATGTTAAAGTGGATTTACTTGAACGCTGGAAAAATTCGACAGCTGATAAGCTAATGACGAATCAAATACACATTACTATGAATCTACCGGCTATGGCGGTAGAATTTCTGGATGTCTTTCGTGGTTTTTTAAACGAAAACGAGCAAACGAATTTTCCTGCTAATGAACTGAGCTACCCTACTGTGCATGTTTACTCTTTCGCAAAGGGCGAAGATACGAAGACGCTAGTGCGCAATATGGTGGAGAAGAATTTGGGTTTGCCGTTGAAAGACAATTTAGAGGGCATATATTTTGTACGGAATGTTGCACCAAATAAGGATATGTATCGAGTTGCATTTCGTTTAACGAAAGAAATTTTGATAACACCTTTTGTGAAGAATCCTATTGAGCCTGCGGCGGAAACCCCAACAGCGAAAAAAAGGAGCGCATCTGAGGCACACGAGGAAGAACCACTTGTTGCAAATAAAGTAAAATGCAGTTCATAATCTTAAAAATTGATAACTCAATAAATTGTTGAACAAAGTTAAAATCTTGCTTTTTATTTATTTATGTATACCTTGGGGCTTTTTCATATTAATAATATTATGTAATAATATAATACATATTTTTTTTATTTTTGTTTTTAAATTCCAGTAAATAGTTATGGGACGTAAATCGAAAACAGCAGCTGGTAAAAAGGGTGCCGCATCTGCTAAGGGTGCTATCAACAAGTCTAAAAAAGACAAGAATATATTCAAAGTAAATGATGCTAAAAATAAGAAGAAACCCAAAGAAGTTCAGGGAAAATTGAAAAAGGTAAATACATTTTAATTATGGTAAAAACCTACTATCATCATATCGAATTTCAGATTAAGGAAGTGGTTAAAAATAAGCGGGAGAAAGTCGATGCAAACTTGAAAGAACTACACAAGGACATGGTAGTAAAGAAGCCGAAGGCAGCAGCTAACAATACACCTATCAAGAAAAATAAAAAGGCTCCGGCAACTACGAAAAAATTAGGAAACCTTAAGTTCTAAAATGCTTATTTTCCTAGACTGCAATAATTCGTCTGCCCGAGTGACGCAAATTCAGTGAACTCTCGATTATAATTGAAGTTTAGATGTTTCAACATGTACTTATATTTTTTAAGTATGGCGAAAATTATATAAAAAACAACCGGTATATGTTATTGAAAATTTGATCAATTCGAGCATATCAATGTATTTTCTGTACTAGACAGTTATCTTTATCACGACAATAGGCAATTCATTGTAAAATACATACATATGAATGTAAATCAAAATACCCGCCCGTGTATGAGTTTGTTTTTGAGTTGATTTACAGAATTAGTTGATTTGAAAATTTTGCAGTTCTACAAATGGCCAACGCTGGGTTCCATTCCTACTTTTGTGTCCACGTTCGTGTCCTTTCCCTGCAGGAAATGTATCTAACTATAAGCTAACTTTAAGTTGCTTAGGAAGGAGCTAAAGGTCAATATTATCTGTATATTTTCTTTGCTGAAAGCTAACTACATTTCTATGGCGATGGCCGCGAAATAATCAAGGCTGGTTACCTTTGCATTAGATGTAACTAACTAATTTTGTACATAAAATATCTACAGGAAAAACAAAATAATTTTATTTTTTATTATTTTTGTATATTCGAACTCCGTCAAACATAACTTCAAAATGATAATATGAAATTTCGATCTTCCTTTTATTTGTCCTCAATTCGAAAAAGTATTTGCGAAGTGCAGGATATTTAAATAGAAACGCATATAAAGAAAACTCGCCCGGCGTCAGCGGAGAGACATCCCCTCCAACATCATGTTTCAAAAACTGGGCCAGGCACACTGACCCGTGGCAGTGTTATTTGAAAGGTGGTCGCACCCAGTGGACAGTACTTCAAGTCAGGATGGGTTCTTGTGAACTGCAGGGGTGCCCTCCAAAGTTAAGGGTTGGAAGGAACCCAAAGCTGTTACAAAAGGGGATGGCATTCCTCCGATGGGCCTTAGTTTGGTAGGCCAGCACTAGATAAACAATACAATGTCAGGAAATTAAGCAGTATACAAAGAGCACACTCCACATCCGCGAAACTGCTGCGTCTTCGGCGGTCAGACTCAAAGAGACAGGCGGCTGGAGGGCGCTGCAGCACGGCCATAGTGGTATTCTTGACAAGCTTATCGAGTCCAGTAGCCCGTTTCTGTAACTCTTCTCTACCGATTATTTCTCTACTGGTAGAGAATATACGTCATTCTCTACAGGAAACAATCAGATTATATACCTCCTACGAGAGATTTCAGGAAAAACTTTCAGGTGAAGTTTCCTTCAAGACGGGATTGGGGTAGGGGCAGGATAGTCGAGGAGAATTCCACTGAAATCTATACTGACGAGTCCAAAATGGACTGCGGTGTACGTGCGGGGGTGTTCTCTGAAACGCTGAATGTCTCTCTCTCATTTCGACTACCTAACTTTGCTAGCATTTTCCAAGCGGAAGAACTGGACTTTCGAAAGGGCCTGTAAAGCAGTAGAGAGAAACTGCGTAGGTGTACGAAGAGCATACATTATCTCAGATAGCCAAGCGGCACTTCTGGCACTTGTCTCACCGGTAACAAAATCCAAAACAGTCAGAGATTGCAAATGTGCGTTAAGCTCGGCGGCCGAGTTAATAGACATCACGGAAATGATAGGGCTGACGAGTTGGCTAGCGCCGGAGCATCTTTTAATGAATCCGAAGCAGAGACTATAAATTGTCGACGCGGACTCATCAAAAGAGAACTGCATCTACAATTCACACGTATGGCTGATACACGTTGGAACAACCTTCGAACCTGCAAAACTGCGAGGCACATATGGGTGCATTATGACAAGCTAAAGACACAAGAACTTCTCAAGAGGTCGAGGAAAGATATAGTCAAATTAATAGCCACTACAACGGGACATTGGCCCATTGGTGAACATGCAGCTAAAATGGGCCTTCCGTATAACCCTCGGTGCCGTAGCTGTAATCTTGAGAGAAGTAAAGAAACGGTCCTTTACTATCGTTGCGAGTGCCCAGCATTGGCACAAATAAGGCAAAACACACTCGGGAGTTTTTCCATCCAAAATCTTGGGGAGATTTCCAAAGTCACCATTACTAACCTAAATAGATTCATCTCAAAATCCAAATGGTTTGACGAACCATTCAATTCAAGGGTCCCAGAGATAGCATATCAAAATGGTGCTTTCAACACTAATTGGGTCCTGGGAATGTATTTAGGCGACGCTTCTACTAACCAACCAACCTCCGATGGGCAATATTCTATATTCCTACCAAAGACGCTGACAAATTAGCAGAGTACGCTATGGGGTTATTCAAAGCGCAGGTCGAGGGTCAGAGCAGAGATTGGGACTAGTAAAACAGCATAGACTTCTACCTAAATTACAGATTCAGTTTCGTTGGGCCTTAGAAAAAAGGCTACGGCAAACAAAGTGGCAGACTCGCGGAAGAGTGAGGTCGATGCGGACATCAAATGCCAATTAATGGAGCCAACCCTGCAGAATATGTGCTCACTACGCGTAGCTACGCAAGGGCTACTAGAGGATGTTTATCCGGAGAAACTTGAGCTCGACAAGCTATCTACCACATTTGGCAGTAGCTCAGGTGAACTGGTACCATGTCGTGGCTGCCTCAGCAATAATAGCCAGTAAGTTTGCTATGGAAGATCTGATGACTAACTCCCCCAGATATAGCTGATGACGTTATATATGTATATCATAAACATAACATAACACAACTTATAACATAAACATGGTGTTTCATTTAGCGGTGGAAGTGGGAACTCCATTCGACCCTGGATTGACTGAGGGCTAGCTTAACCGTCCAGACCACACCTACCTCAGAGTCGCAATCAAAACTGCGCTGGAAGAATGTAGCAAATTTGAAATGTTTATAGCTGAACTGACAGTTGGAACATATGTATATATGTGTAAAAGGATGTAGTGGTCAGACGGATCGCTATAAGTTTCATATCAATCGGTTCGGTAGCTTTTGAGTCATAAACGACATACATACCAAGAGGCAAAGGTGAGATTTTTACATACACGATTTTGCAGAGAACGCAGAAATTAGAGAAGATGAGTTAGCGAATTTTTTTTATGAAGTAATACAATACCAAAAATTTATGATGCTACAAACGTGCTTATTTTGTATTACAAACATACGTAAGCATTTGATAACAGGTGTTGAACTTGCGCATAAATAATAAGCTCGCGTGGTGTTTGCGGTAGAATATTTTCAATTTTGTACAGCACGAGATTGTTTTAGGACCGAATGCAGATAAACTCACGAGTATTTGTTAAAAAAAAAAACTTTCAATTTATATTTCATCCAAGCATTAGCGTATGTATGAATAAATACAGTTGCGGGCAACTAATAGGTATCGTTCAATCCAGTTCTACATACAAATGATCAGAACGAGACTGCACCTGAAACTGAGAGCAGTTTTTTTCTACACACCTTCGACGATTTAATGCTAAGAACGCATAAAATGTATCAATCTTGCAATTTTTTATACAAAAATTCGATGGGCTAAAAAACTCAAATACTGATACGGTATTGCACAAAGTTTGATATATTTATATTTATGCGGTTTCTGCTAAAGAATAAGCTATATTAAAAAAATAACTAAAATTAAATAACAAAAAACAAAAAAAAAAAAATTGTTGTGGTGCGCTTATAATTTTGACACGGGGTGTAAAACAGATGGTATACATACTACTTTACATCTTTTTATTTATTATTTCCCTTCGTTTTTTGTTTTCTTTATTGTTTGCGCACTTAATTAATGGCGCAAGCTTCCACAATTTAACAAGAAATGTATTCTTAAATAAAACAGTCAGTTTTTATAACTTATGTAGATGGTTATTATTAATTTTCGATTTTAATCGAAACCATCGATGAATCGGTTAATTTCTTACGATTAGTTGCAACTATTAGACGAATGCTTTCGATTAATCAATTAACCAATTAATCGATTATTAATTTTTTTTTTGCCATCACTATATATGCAACGTTTATTATAGCTGCAATGCCACGGCACAGAAATGTGTGCTTGGATTTATGGTTGGACTCAGATTCCGCTTGGTCTCTGGGTTTACCTCATCAGTGAAAGAATTGGCCACCATCCGCATCAAAGGTGACTCATTTACGCGCAGCGTGACCAGGTAAGCCGTTTTGAGGCTATACTTAGCATATAATTTTAAGCCATAGCCTCAGAACTTTCGGTCTGACTTCGCCGCATTTTTCTGTCCTTTTTTACTTAAAATATTCATAGTAAAATTCGGACTCGAACTTATAAAAATAATTACCATATTAAAAATACTTAATATTTCAAAAACTAGGTACTGTTTATCGTTCAAATATTATAAAAACAGAGCAAACTACCATAACCTTGGGAACATTCTTTCTTAGCTTTATCTTGGGTTAAAAAAAATTACTACTATTATTGCACTCTGATGTATATGTGTAGAGAGCAATCAAATTTCTATTCGATTTTTTTTTGGTTTTTCGTATCCTAAACTGTACCGGATATTAACCTGAAAGATGTTATTTTGAATTTTGATGGGAATGATTTTAAAATTTATTTAAATAAAATTGGTTTCGTGGAACTTATCGAGGTGGAATGCTTTTTAACGAATATGAATGTATTAACTTCTTTTTAAGTGAATTTTTCACAGGGTATAACTTTTTCTAACCTTTTCTCAAAACCAATTTATCCTCACCTTTTGTAATCATCTGGTCACACTGTTTACGTGCATGTCCCGATGGAGAAGGACGAGGAGATCTAAGAACTAATTGCTACGCATGACCACCACGAAATTTAGGAACCAAGTGCAGGAGAGTCTGTCTACACTTGTAGGGGATAACTTCATAAAGGAGTGAGAAAAATTTGCAAAGTTTTTTGATCCAGGTCCAAACCAAAAAACGGTTGTAGTACTAAATAAAAAGAAGAAGAAATATATGAGGGATTCACAACGGTGTCGTAAGTGTCATATTGTTGTATGCCGTAAGCTTTGAAACCTTAAATAAATGTTTAGAGAACTTGAAACTACAACTAACTATTTTTTAACACTGCGAAAATTCATAATATGACTTTGATGGTACTTTAAAGTTTACGACATACAACAATACGACACTTACGACAACGTTGTAAATACCCCAATTATGTAAATATTTTTATGGTCTTAGAATTATTTAAAAAAAAAAACAGAAGAAAAAAAAACAGAGTTTGTCGATGCCGGTTGGGAAATTTTTGCACTTCAAAACGGACCACAATCAGTTGAGCCTAGCTGTACTTATATGTAGACACCAGGCCCGAAATATATGTATACTTATGCTTCCACATAATTTTACGTAAATCAGTATTCGCTTTGCAAATACTGCTTCCAAAAAAAAGTTATTAGTATTGATAAAAATATGACTAATAACGAGTTAAACAAAAACACTATACATATGTGGAATATTCTCCTTCATTACATTTGTTTTCAACATGGGCTTACTTTAGCTTATCTGTTTACCGCCAAAGAATGTAAATGTTTATCCTCACTGTCAACTTTCCATCATATTCTCAGGCGTAAGCAGAATGTTAAGTTCATAGAGAATTTTTGCCGCAGCGAGGCAGCAGCTGAAGCAATTTTCTAAACCTAAATATCTACATACATACATACAATCCGCTTCAATTGAATAAGAGCACATTTTTTGATCATGTTCGAGCTTATAACTGGACTTGTAGGCATCGGGGAAGCTTCGTTTTAATCTCATTTTGAAGAATGATCCATTTCGAAGAAAGCGGTGAAAATTAAGAAAACACTTTGGATTTTATTCCACTTTTTATCAAACTCAATATATGTACATGAAAATTATGCTTATTGTTTTGATTCAGTTGAATAGGCACAAGTACGCATAGCATACTTCAAAATAAAATTAAAACGAAGCTTCTCTGATGCCCAGCAGTCCAGATATAAGCTTGGATCTCGAGAAAAAAATGTGTACCTATTCTAATGAAATGGAGTATACTTATCACTGTAGACGCAGATTTGTTACTCTCGTAGTTTTTTATCCATTCAATTGCTTTTAATATAAAAGCCTCAGCAGCAGCAATAGTGCCATCATTAATAAAGTGAAAGCACTTTCGAACGTAAAATCGCCGGCATTTAAACCGAATACTAGTCAATAAAAAGTCATCGAGAATGAAACGTTTCATCATCACATTGGCTATTGTGTGTAGCCTTTGCTCCAGCTGGGCTCTACCTCCTGCCACTAAACCTGCTGTCGCACCACTACCACCACCACCGGCTACCCTAACACAGGACCTCGAACAGTTGTATCGCCTTATACCCGCTAAGCCACTTAACAAATTGGTCATACGTTATCTGCTCAACGATGCGGAGTTCCAGGCTATTATACGCATCATAAATTCACACGATGCCTTCATGGTGCGTATGCGTCTTTACGCCCAGCCGGAGATCATACAATTCCAGTCGTGGGTGCGCTCTCAGTTGATGTTGTCTGGCGGCGGTTCTTTAGAATTCGAGGAATCTGAAGAAATTTTGAGTCTCTTCAATCCAACACCCTACTGGTCGGTTTATGGCTGGCAAGGATTTTTCAATGAATTCCTTGCATACTTCCCACAGGAGATGTTGCGCGCCCAAATCAACGCAAAGGTAATCCAAGGCGGTAGTCTCGCCCAATTCTGGGAGAAATTGAAGGCTTTGCGTCCGGTGTATGAACGCGTTTTGGCCTTCCCGGAATCGAAACGCATAATTACACAACTCGAACAGAATGGTGTGAATTTCAGTCAGTTAGATCAATACATTCGTTCATTGTTCGATTGGTTTAATTTGAATCCGGTCGATGCGATCGCCCAGGAAGTTAGCACTGTCCAAGCGCCAATTGCTCCACCGGCCGCCAATAGTATTGTAGCGTAATATGTGTCGATTATAATGCTTCTGGGGGGAATTCATGATTCATCACCAAAGGACGCTCAGGAAAAAGTGTTCACGAATAAAATATCATTATTTTAAGATTTGAAAGTCTTTGAATATCAATCGTTATAAATGTATGTATGTAGATATATAAATAAATAAATAAAAGAAAACCTACACACATATCGGTTTAAGGACTCAATTATTTTCTCCAGAAAGAGGGACAAAAAGATACACTTCTATAAAGAAATCCCATAATTTGTTAATAAGAAGCTATCATAGCGCTAAGCCAATTCGACCTTGCCGAAAGCTAATAAGAAAACAGGGATGAAGTTCCCACAGGCCTAGCTCAGCAAACTCTAGCGACAAGCGCGCTTATGTACTCGTATTACTTCTAAGAGCAATTAGACAAACCCTCGCCGCTGCTCCCGAGGCGCTGCTAGACTTGTGTCCTCCGCTCTTTGCAACACAGATAAAGGGTGTTCTTTGAGTCTTACTCATCGCTGCACTGCGAAGGGAACATTTTTCCACTCTAATTAATTTTAACAACGCTAAAACCTGCAGAGGAAATGAATCCGAGCCCCTAGTGAAAGATCGCCATCCAACTAAATATGACAAGGTATGTTTAGAAATTTCGCGGCTGAAAACAAAAACAAAGCTGCGGGAGCTGACAGTTTGCCAGCTGACCTATTCAAGTGTAGCGGCGATGAGCTGATAAGGTGCATGCATCAACTCTTATGTAGAATACGGCCGAACGAACGCATGCCCGACGACTAGAATTTAAGTGTGCTCTGCCCAATCGACCAGAAAGGTGAGCACGCCATTTGCCCCAACTACCGTGGGATCGGCCTTCTAAGCTGAATAAGTCTTATCAAGCGTATGAAAGATTGAAGTCCACCGTCAACGAACTGATTAAGCTTTATCAGTGTGGCTTTACACCAGGAAAATCCACCATAGACCAGGTATTCATCATAGGAGACCTGCGAGAAAGGAATACACGCACAATCTATTTTTCGACTTCAAAGCTATTTTAGACAGCACGAAAAGGAAATGACTATACGCCGCGTTATCTGAAATTACTGAAAACTGATACGACTTTTTACATAAAATGAACAATATCAACAGCTCCGCTAGAAGGACTTTTCCGAGCCGTTTGATACCAAACACGGTTTCATACATGGCGACTCCCTGTCGAGTGATGTGCTGCTGGAGAAGGTAATAAGAACTACAGAACTGAACCACTTATTACAAGAGCGTACAATTGCTGGCGTATGCTTAGACATCGACATCATCTCCTGTCATCAGACAATCAGTCAGCGCATTCACGCTTCGCCCCTACGTCAGGGTTGACAGTTATAATTTCGAAAGGTAGAGAACTTCATTTGTCTGAGAATTAACATTACCACCGATAATAATGTCAGTCTTGAAATCCAACGCAGAATTACCCCTTTCCAATAAGTTCTACTTTTTACTGAGTAGACAATTTCGGCATCATCTAATTTAAAGCGGAAGAAGTACGCTCTAAAGCAGCCGTACCCACTTAGAAGTTGCGTGACATTAAATTCTACTTCTTCATGTTTTCTTCCCAGCCAGCTTTCTATATGTGGTATAAGCCTGTGCGTCCACCGACCACTGTTGGAGTGATTCCATCGGTGTTGCCACTGCTCCATTGTGCGACGCCTCGCTCGCGATTTCGGAAATTTCCGTGGGGCTCGCCGTGGATAGAACCGGACGTTTCTTGGGCCAAGAGTTCGATAGGATGTAGCGCTGAGATGACCAGCGCTGTATCTTCTGACACCGTACGGAATACCGAGCAGAGTTTTAGTGCGCAAAGTATATACACTGATCGTATTCCCTTGATGTACGACGGCGTGTCGCATGCAGTTGCCCAAACCTCCGACCCGTAGAGAATAACGGACTTGAGAACACCAGCTACCAACTTCCTTACGTTATGTCTTGGACCTCTTGTGTTGAGCATAAGTTTTGAGAGTGATCCATGGGTGGACGCTGCTTTTTCGGAAACGTAGTCCAAGTGGTCCTTAAATTTCAGCATCGAGTTGAACTTGATGCCTAGGTACTTGAGTGAGGGTTTTGACTGCACAGTGGATCCTTTAACTCTTATTTCTGCCTGCTCTCTGATTTTCTGTTTGCTTATTAGAAGAAGCTCTGTTTTCTGCTCGGTCAGCGCAAGGCCCATCGATGTAAGTCAATCAACGATGGCAGCAACGGTTCTTCCGCACATCGTTCTACCTCGGATAAATGTTTGGCAACAACTACTACGGTAACGTCGTCTGCGAACCCGATTATCTTCGCTTCCGCGGGAACATGCAAGCGCAGGACGCCATCATACATGACGTTCCAAAGGAGTGGTCCCAGTGCCGATCCCTGAGGGACACCGCCTGAAACTGTGTATTCTACCAGGCCAGTTTGCGTGTCGCATAGTAGAATCCCATTTTGGAAGTAGTTGGTGATGGTAGCCCTATCAAATACGCTGGGACGTTAAAGTTCCGTAGCGCGCACAGTATTTTTTGCCAATTTGCGGTGTTCAACGCATCGAAGGACGGGGTTTACCGTATTTCAGTGGCGAGCCACAGTGCAGCCATTGGTAATGAAGTGGTCGATATTTAATCCAGGTAAGGGACTGGCGAGGCAACTGTAGGCTCAGTGCCTCCATATATCTATATATACTGCCTAGGTACACCGTACCTGCCAGCACATGCCCCAAATGACAAACACAAACACAAGCTCATTTTCCACTTTGTTCGCCATAGAGCCGGGCACCTGGTAATAACACTTACTGGGCTTGTGCTGGTGCTATTATTTTGGTGGCCATTTCTGAACTTGTGGGCAGTAATCTGGCTAGTTTAAGGTACATATTTGTTAATCTCTATGATTCTGTTTTGTTTTTACTCGCCCGTTTACTTCCACTCCAATTCACCATTTATACCATCCTTAGTGAACTTTTTCAAAGCGTTGGAAAGAAAATTCCGCCACTGCCTCAAGAAAGGAATCAGCTAAAAGAGCAATTTTTAGGGTATGTAAATCCTTATGGAGGGGAGTGCATGTACATACATACATACATATGTGTGTAAGTTTTCGCAGTCTGCTATATATGTACATATCGCAAACCTAGATCTAAAGTGCGATCAACTAAAAAAAAAAAAAATTTGGGCGATTTTTTTGCGTAAATCAAATCTTAGGACTTACATCCAATTAATGGAGATATTTTTTCTTCATGATTATACACATTAACTAAAAAACTACTGGTATACCTGTTTTTGTATTAATTGCATTAAATCTGTACGATCCACAAGCAGTTAAATTTCGCTCTTTGAATTTTTTAGTTAGCTCACTTTAGATCTAGAGGTGTGATATGTTCACCTTTTTTGTGTCAAGCAAATTAAAAAGAAATGCGATTCTGTGTTTTATTTTATTGAGTATATTTTTTTTTCGATACTACAATGCATGTAACAAAACACTTTAGCAAATTCTCAATAAGAAAAGTAACAAGTTTTCACTTGAATATGTAGTAAATTCTTATTTAAATGACTTTGTTTTTGTGTATTTTTTTTAAACATTATATATATATATATTTCCATCAAATTAATATTTCTCATAGTTATGTAATGATATGGAGTATAACTTTGATATCGCATATGCATACTTATGTAATTTTAAATTTTATTTTTATAGTTTTTAGCTGTATGTATGTATGTATGTAATTAAATGTATCTGTAGTATGTACGAACGTATACAGTTTTTATAAAATAAACTTAAATATAAACTTTTAAATAATTTTATATATTTATGTATATTTTTGGTATTGATTATACCGTGCGACAAAAAAATTTATATAAAAAAAAATTAAAAACACACGGAAAAAATCAATTTAATCACCAAGAGAGGGCCCAAATATAGTTAAATTGGGTTTTTAGTTTTCTCTATGACGTCAGGATTTGTTTACAAAGGAGTTTGAAATTTCGGGAATATAAATAAGAAGTCAAAAAAGTATTTTAAAAATTCAGTGCAATGTACAATAACAATATGAGTATCAAATAAAAGAAAAAATTCTCGGGAATTGAAAAAATTCAATTTTTTGGTTCACTACCTTCTTTTAAATATTTTTTTTTTATCGCAAACTAATAAAGAAGGACGAAATTAGAGTATGTGATAGTGTATACATACATATATTAGTTCGTAACATATATTTTTTTACAAAATTTAATTTCTTTTTAATTCTACAGATTTTTCTCTTTTATTTAATACCCATATAGTATGCAACATTTCACTGAATTTTTTAAATAACTTTTTCAACTAAAAAGTCAAATACATTCGTGGCCATGCAAACCTTACCACCAATTTTTAAAATTTTGTAGAATTTTGTAAATTAAGAAACAAAAATTGATCAAAAACAATATAATAACAAGTAATTTTTTAGCAAAAAACAAAACCGACTTTAATTCTCATATAAAAATTTAAGACTATCTTTAATTTCTTTATGATCCAATATTCGGATTTAAGCCAAATTAGTACGGGACCACCTCTAACGAAACACCTTTCCTTTAAAACTAAACTTAAGAATTATAGAAATCGGTTTGAACTATATTCAAAATAAAAAATATTTTTTTTTTATTTACAAAATTCTACCAAATTTAAAAAAAAGATGTGGTAAGGCTTGCGTGGCCACGATTGTATATCTAATTTTAAGGCCTTAAAAAAATCCTCATGTTAGAGTGAAAAATACAGTTTTACTATATTTGGTCCCTAGTTTCGCGAGAACTTAGTTATTTTTAGATTTTTTTGTGAGTAAAATTAATTAACTGTCGCACAGTGATATGTAGTTCTGAACCTTTTTTAATACAGTGGAGTTTGCCCGGCCCTTGGCGATGATTCTTGGTATAGAAGTAGTAATGTGCGAATCGATGTTTGCAATTTTTTTTTATATATTTTTCGGACTTTCTTTTTTGGATCTTGAGAAACACTATGCGATCAAAGGAACGCAAAGACTGCAGACGACTTGTTCGTGCTGCCTATTGATTGATTGGAAAGCTAAAAATTATAGATACTAATCAGATATGATGGAAAAACAAATAAAAACAAGTAAGAGCAGCGCTGTCTTC